CACTTTGAAAATGATATAGATACATCTTAGGAATAAGCAGTTTAAGTATGAATTTGATCGTGGTTCAATGATTTTGGACAAACTTATCTTTCCTTAATGTTGGAAAAATTTTGAACTTTCAGTTTCAGCACTCATACTTTTGTGGAAATGTATATAGCCATTATTTTGGCTACAAATATGCAATATGCTATTTTCAAAAGGTTAAGACTGAATAATTTCAGTGCCTTTAACATTGTATAAAAATGGTTTGTGTTAACATTGAAAAGTTTTAAGGGCTTTGAACTTGAATGAAAGAAATAATTTGTGCAAACAAATTTGGAACTAAATATTATAACATTTGAAATTTTGGCTGCATGCGGGGGCATCCGTGGCATGATGACACATTTCTAGTCATACTTTATTTTTGTCCAGGCTATTTCTCATAACTAATAAAAGATATGGACTTGAAACTTCATAGAATGATAGATCTTATTGATAACATAAGAAGTGCAGTACATAGAAACTGTTGCTCTGCACTAATTATGCCCCCATTTCGAAGAAAAGGGGGTATATTGCTTTGCACTTGTCGGTCCGTCGGTCCGTAGACCAAATGGTTTCCGAGTGATAACTAAAGAACCCTTAGGCCTAGGAACTTCAAACTTGGTATGGTGATTGGTCATGACCAGTAGATGACCCCTATTGATTTTGGGGTCAAGGGGTCAAAGGTCAAGGTCACATTGACCTTGTAAGCAAAAACGGTTTCCGATCAATAACTAAAGAACCTTAAGGCCTAGGAACTTCAAACTTGGTATGGTGATTGGTCATGATCAGTAGATGACCCCTATTGATTTTGGGGTCAAGGGGTCAAAGGTCAAGGTCACATTGACCTCTTGGGTAAAAACGGTTTCTGATCAATAACAAAAGAACCCTTAGGCCTAGGAACTTCAAACTTGGTATGGTGATTGGTTATGATCAGCAGATGACCCCTATTGATTTTAGGGTTAAGGGGTCAAAGGTCAAGGTCACATTGACCTTGTAGGTAAAAACGGTTTCCGATCAATAACGAAAGAACCCTTAGGCCTAGGGACTTCAAACTTGATATGGTGATTGGTCATGATCAGTAGATGACCCCTATTGATTTTGGGGTCAAGGGGTCAAAGGTCAAGGTCACATTGACCTCTTAGGTAAAAACGGTTTCCGATCAATAACTAAAGAACCCTTAGGCCTAGGAACTTTAAACTTGGTATGGTGATTGGTCATGACCAGCAGATGACCCCTATTGATATTGGGGTTAAGGGGTCAAAGGGCAAGGTCACATTGACCTTGTAGGTAAAAATGCTTTCCAATCAATAACTTAAGAACCCTTAGGCCTAGGAACTTCAAACGGTCATGACCAGCAGATGACCTATTGATTTTGGGGTCAAGGGGTCAAAGGTCAAGGTCACATTGACCTTGTAGGTAAAAACGGTTTCCGATCAATTGACTAAAAACGCTTAGGCCTAGGAACTTCAAACTTTGTATGATGATTGGTCGTGACCAGCAGATGACCCCTATTGAGTTTTGGGTCAAGGGGTCAAAGGTCAAGGTTACATTGACCTTGTAAGTAAAAACGGTTTCTGATCAATAACTTAAGAATGCTTAGGCCTAGGAACTTCAAACTTGGTATGGTGATTTGTCATGACCAGCAGGTTACCCCTATTGATTTTGGGATCAAGGGGTCAAAGGTCAAGGTCACATTGACATTGTAAGTAATAACGGTTTCTGATCAATAACTAAAGAACGCTTCGGCCTAGGACTTTCAAACTTGGCATGGTGATTGGTCATGACCAGCAGATGACCCCTATTGATTTTGGTGTCAAAGGTCAAGGTCACATTGACCTTGTATGTTAAAACGGTTTCCGATTAATAACTAAAGCAGCCTTAGGCCTAGGAACTTCAAACTTGGTATGGTGATTGGTCATGACCAGCAGATGACCTATTGATTTTGGGGTCAAGGGGTCAAAGGTCAAGGTCACATTGACCTTGTAGGTAAAAATGGTTTCCGATCAATTGACTAAAAACGCTTAGGCCTAGGAACTTCAAACTTTGTATGATGATTGGTCGTGACCAGCAGATGACCCCTATTGAGTTTTGGGTCAAGGGGTCAAATGTTAAGGTCATAACCAGTAGATACTTGAAAACCCTTATTAATTGTTTGATCACTGGGTCAGAAGTCATGCATAATAACCTTATCACATGACTAATTGGCTGCTGATAGGGGCATACATGTTTTACAAACATATCTTGTTATATTTTGAGTTATTGACCTTAGTTTTCATATTTCATTTTTTTCCTAGCCATTTCTCCTAAACTATATTGTTCACAAGGCGACACATCCAACTCGCGGAGTTCTAGTTGCTTGTATGCTGGTATCTCCATAACTACTGAAGGGTTTGTGCCTTTTAGCTCACCTATCACAAAGTGACATGGTGAGCTTTTGTGATCGCTTTTCTTCCGGCGTCCATCCGTCCAAGCGCACAATAGGGTATATGTTGGGTACTAAATACCCAACAACTACCAATCCTACTCATTCTGTATGTATTGTTGGGTATTTTAAATGAATTTTTATGTATTGTTGGGTACTTTTTTACACAGTAAAATACCCAACAAGAATACAAATGTAAGGATATCCATCCGTCTGTCCATCTGTCCATCCGCTTTTCTTGTCCAGGACATAACTTTGAAACAACAAAAGGTATCAACATGAACTTTGTAGGTAGATAGATCTCATTGAGAAGGTGTGCAGTGCACAAGAACCGTGTCTCTGCCTTGCCTAATACTTGAATTATTGCCCTTTGTTTATTTTACACTTTGAACTTTGTCCGGGACATAACTCTAAAACTATAAAAGATATCAACATGAAACTTTGTAGGTAGATAGATCTCATTGGATAGAACTGCAATGCTAAAGAACCTTAACACAGCCTTGTCTAATTTTGGAGTTATTGCCCTTTGTTCATTTTTTCACTTTGAATTTTACCTGGGACATAAAACTATAAGAGATATCATCAGGAAACTTTATAGATAGATAGATCTCATTGAATAGAAAAGCAGTGCCAAAAACCATAACTCTGCCTTGCCTAATTTTGGAGTTTTTGCCCTTTGTTCATTTTTTTTATACTTTCCTGTGTCCAATACCTTCTCGGGGAGCATCACCAGGTTCAATGGGTTCTTGTTTACCTGATGACTGTGGCAGTAAGATTTGATGAACTGTCTTAACATTGGGGAGGCTTAGCCTCCCCAAATATTTAAAAAATCTTTTTGTCTGAAGGTACAAGGCTTAGAGCTTTGATATTTGGATATAATGTCATCTTTATGTCCTCTATAAAAATTGTTCAAATTTTGCACCTGGTATCAAAATTGGCCCTGCCCTTGGTGTGATGGGTTTTCCTTATAAATTATGTATAAAAAAGTTCTCTGAATTGATAAAGGCTAGAGGTTAGATATTTTGCATGAAACTTGTGCACTATACCTCTACCAAGATTGTTCATGGGCAGTGGACCTCTACCAAAATTGTTCAAATTATAGCCCTGCGGTCAAAATTGGCCCGCCCAGAATTCATTGATTTTTATTATGTACATATAGTAAAAACAGTAACTAAAACAATTTTTTTTTCTGAATAGGAGAAAGCTACAGCTTAGGTATTTGACATGAAACATTATCTAGTGGACCTGTTTCAAGATTGTAAGCCCACCTGAGGACAATGTCCTCAAGGTGAGCTTTTAGTGATGGCCCATTGTCTGTCATCCATTCAACAATTTCTTTAAACAACTTCTCCTCCTAAACCGTTTGGCAAAATTTGTTTAAACCTTGCAGGGATGTTCCTTGCATGAAGCTCTACCAAAGTTGATCAAAGAAGTAAATTTCACAAAGAACTCTGGTTGCCATGGCAACTGGAAAAAAACCCCATAAAAATTCTTCTTTTAAAAAACCCCAAAGAGCTACAGTTTAGATATTTAGCATGAAACATTTTCTAGTGAGTGTCTACCAAGTTTGTTCAAATAAAAGCCTTGGTGTCATTGATTTTCATTATATGTACATATATACTGTACTGTACTGGAACTGTTGTTTTTACACATGCATTATTTCAGTAAAAATATGAACTTTGTGATATCAGTTTAAGATTTAGATTTCATATCTGCTTTTTTTTATAGTTTACAATATTACTTGTTCCACGTCATGGAGATTTTCTATATTCAGGTGAGCAATTTCAGGGCCCTGCCAATGGAACAGTGACCTACTTTCTTGTCCTTTGGTGTACAGCCATGAAATTTGGACCATTTGCACAGTTTGAGATGTAAAATTGATTTTTTTTACCTAGATTTTGACATGTGACCTACTGTCTTGTCCTGTGATGTGTAGCTATGACATTTGGACCATGTGCACAGTTTTAGACGTAAAATTAAACTTTGATATCAGCTGACCTACATTTGACAAAGTGACTGACTGTCTTGTCCTTTGATGCACAGTCATGAAATTAAGGCCATGTGAAATATGACCTTGACCACAAAACTCACTAGACTCAACTGCATTATGGCAAAGTTCAATTGTGTAAAAACAAAAAAATATTCTGTTCCTACACTACTATTTAGTGTTGTGTTAATGTGGTGGCATAGCATTTTCAACAAATGCATTCTTGTTTTAAACTTTCACCATGCTGAATACCATAAATTTGTCATAAAAATTCAAAATAAGTAATGATTGAATATCAACAGTATAGATCATGATAAGGTGGCATGGGTTTTCTGATTAATCTTGATGTAAGAAGAGGTGCCAGATGTCTTCCTCCATGGTAAAGCTGGAAAGTCTCTGTATGACCTTTTCAGTGTCACATAAGGTCAAATAAACAAACTTGAATTGCACCAAAATATGTTGCAACATATATGGATATTGTTGTTCTTGGGCATATGCAAGAAGAAATGACAACAATAGAATTTTAAAAAGAATAGTTAAGGCAATAAAACTAGTCTAATATCTATTCAGGTATTACAGCACCTTATGGAGATGGGCTTTGATGAAAGGGATGTAATAGATGCCTTACGTGCTACCAGAAATGATGGGGAAGCTGCTGTATGTAACAATTTATTGTATCTATACATGTTTTAGCTGGACATTTCTAAGAAACAATTTAAGCTATTGCTACAGTCAGGGTGACACATATAAATTTAGTTGGTCATATTGGTAAGACATGAAAGATAAGAGTTACTTATTATGTCTAGAGTTCTGCCAAATTACTTCCCTTGCATATATACATGAAGAAAGGATTTTTTTAAAATCTTTGTTGACATTCATTTAACCTCCACAAGCAAAGTTTAGGTGGGTGGAGATATATAGGAGTAAGCTTGTAGGTGGGTCCATCCCTTGCTCAGATGGTTTTCAGACCATAACTAGAGTTTGGAATGAGGTTTTGTAATCAAAATTGGTATTTACGAAAATTATGTGGATACCTCTATATAGATCCATTTTGGATCCCCTAGGGTCAAGATCATTTGTTACTTAAAATAGAAAAATGATTTCTTGACATTAACTAGTTATTAATTTGGTATTGTAATCAAAATTGATATATAGCAAGCTTAAGTGAAGTCTTGGGATTGCTTTTATACCCTCTAGGGTCTCCATGAAAAATGGTTTTTGGACGATTACTTAAGTTAGGAATGAGATTTTGGAATTAAACTTGGTATTTACTAAGGTTATCTGAGGACCTCGTTTGGGATTGCTTTTGGACCCCTAGGGGTCAAACTAGAGTTTGGAATGAATTACTGTATATAACAACCCTATTATGTGAAAACCCAGGTTCTTATTGCTTTTTGGACTCCCTAGTGTAAAGGTTAAGGTCACTGTTAACAAAAATAGAAAAATGGTTTCAGGACAATAACTAGAGTTAGGAGTGAGATATTGTAATCAAACTCGGTATATAGCAAGCTGATATGAAGACCCTGGTTGGGATTGCTTTTGGACAGCATGGGGTCAAGGTCAGCATCACTGTTTTTAAAAATAGGAAAATGGTTTCTGAACATATACTTGAGTTAGGAATGTTATATTGAATAAAACTTGGTATTTGAGAAGCTTGTGAAGAGACCTAGCTTGGGATTGCTGTTGAACCCCTAGGTTTAAGGTCAAGGTTACTGTTACTAAAAATAGGAAAATGGTTTCCATACATTTTTTTTCACAGGGATTATGGTTAACAGAAGATTATACACTTTAAGCAATCAATTGTAATAATTATGGGAAAAGATGAGACCACTTATAAGCTCCCTTGAGCTTTTGCAGCCGTCCCTAAACCTTTAAACGATATCTCCTTATAAACCGCTAAGCCAATTTAATCCAAGCTTCACAGGAATGTTCCTTTTGAAGTCAACTTTGAGAATTGTTCAAGGAATATAATTCCATGTAGAACTCTGGTTGACATGGCAACCGAAAGAAAAAACTTAAAAAATATTCTTTTAAAAAAAACAAAAGAGCTAGAGCTTAAATATTTGGCATGAAACATTGTCTAGTCAGTGTCTACCAAGTTTGTTAAAATTGAATCCTTGGGGTCAAAATTGGCCCCGCCCTAGGGTGTCATCTTCTTATGGGTGTTTACCAAGTTTGTTAAAATAAAAGCCCTGGGGTCAATATTGGCCCAGCGATTCCATTATATGTATATAGTAAAAACTTAAAAAATCTTCTTTAAAAAAACCCAAATAGCTAGAGTTTAGATATTAAGCATGAAACATCTTCTAGTGTCTACGAAGTTTGTTTAAATTAAAGCCCTTGGATCAAAATTAAAATTATAGCCCTTGGGTTAAAATTAGCCGTTTTCCAGGCCATTGATTTTCATTATATGTATATAGTTAAACCTTAAAAATCATCTTTCAAAAAACCCAAAGAGCTAGAGATAATATAATATATTTAGCATGAAACATCTTCTTGTGAGTGTCTACCAAGTTTTTTCAAATAAAAGCCCTAGAGTCAAAATTGGCCCTGCCCCTGGGTGTTGTTAATTTTCCTTATGTGTATGTAGTAAAAACTTTAAAATTCTTCTTTTAAGAAAACCCAAAGAGTTAGAGCTTAGATATTTAGCATGAAACATCTTCTTGTGTATGTCTACCAAGTTTGTTCAAATAAAAGCCCTAGGGTCAAAATTGGCCCCTCCCTGTGTGTGGTGTCCTTGATTTTCCTTATATGTACACAATCATCTTTGAAACTGTTGATTTTACACATGCACTATTTCAGATACAATTATGAACTTTGTGATATCAGCTTTAGATTTGTTTTTAGCTCGACTATACGAAGTATATGGAGAGCTGTCCTACTCGCCCCGGCGTCCGCGTCCAGATTTTAGATTAAAGTTTTGGTGCAGTAAAATATTTTTCACTATAACTTTGTCATTTTTTAAGGTATCAACTTCAAACTTCAAATATATGTTCCTTATCATCAACCACATCTTATGTGACTAGGGTTCATAACTCTAGCACCAATATTTTCAGATTTATCTCCCTTGAACTTAGAATTTTCCTTAAAAAAATACAATTTTTTACTGTTACTTCTTTATTTCTTAAGGGATCAACCTCATACTTCAAATATATGTACCTTATCATCATCCCCATCTTATGTGACAAGGTTCATAACTCTAGCACCAATATTTTCAGATTTATCTCCCTTGAACTTAGAATTTTCCATAAAAAATATTATTTTTACTGTTACTTATTTATTTCTAAAGGGATCAACTTCATACTTCAAATATATTTACCTTATCATCATCCCCATCTTATGTGACAAGGTTCAGAACTCTAGCACCAATATTTTCAGATTTATCTCCCTTTGAACTTAGAATTTTCCATAAAAAATATTATTTTTTACTGTTACTTATTTATTTCTAAAGGGATCAACTTCATACTTCAAATATATTTACCTTATCATCATCCACATCTTATGTGACAAGGTTCATAACTCTAGCACCAATATTGCAATAATTATCTCCCCATTAACTTAGAATTTTTTACTAGAAAAATGTTATTTTTTATCATTACATTTTTATTTTTAATTATATCTACTTCAAACTTCAAATACTTATTCCTTAACATCAATTACATTTTATGTGACAATGTTCATAACTCTTGAAGCAATATTTACAGATTTATCTCTCTTTGAACTTAAGATTTTCTTTAAGAAATATAATAACTTCTTTACTTTTTAAGATATCTACTTCAAACTTCAAATATATATTTCTTATCATTACACAACTGTTGTGTGACAAGGTCCATAACACTAGCATGACTATTTCTAGAATTATTCCCCTTGACCTTGGAATTAATGTTAACAAATATTATTTTTTTACTATAACTTAATACATAATTTTACATAATTGATTTTTCTTTCATAGTTTTGTCCTCCTTACTGCGTCCAGTATTTTATTAGTCGAGCTTCGCTGTCTCCTGTGACAGCTCTTGTTAGTCCCCTACCGGTTTACCCTCCGTCTGTCTGCTTGTCTGTCCGTCTATGTGTCTGTCTGTCAGTCCGTCCACAAAACTGGATCCCGCGATAAAGCAAAAAGTACTGAAAATATTTTTATGAAACTTGATATATGGATGTATGGAGATTATGCATGTCTTTTTCTTTTCTTCTTATGTTGAAAATTCTGGTTGCTTTGGCAATAAATATACTGAAGATATGGCAAATTTAACACATAAACTGGATCCAGTGATTAAGCAAAAGGAACTGAAAATATTTTTTATGAAACTTGAAATATGGGTAGATGACAGTCGGGAGATTATGCACATTTTTTTTGTTTTCTTCATATGTTGAAAATTCTGGTTACAATGGCAACAAATAGACTGAATTTCAAGATTTCTGATTCTAGTTTTTACGTTTTTTCACTATAAGTTCTTTATTTCTTAAGGTATTTACTTCAAACTTTAAATATAAGTTTCTGGTCATCAACCACATCATATGTGACAAGGTTTACAACTATAGTACAAAAATTATCAGAATTACCTCCCTTGAACTTAGAATTTTTATAAAAAATGTTGTTTTTTTTTTTTTTTTTAAAAACTTCTTTATTTCTTAATATAACTTTATAACTTAATATAACTTTATAACTTCAAACTTCATATGTATGTTTGTTATTATCATTAAACATTTGTGAGAAGGTTCAATACTCTATCAACCCTTGAACTTAGATTGTTTTCGAGAAATTATTATTTTTTACTCAAACTTCTTCTTTCTTATAGGATTTACTTCAAACTCCCACGTCATAGTAATATGACAAGGGTTATAAATCTAGAATCCATATTTCCAGAATTATCTCCTCCTTAAACTTTGATTTTTTCTTATTCATTCTTTCACTTTCTTATTTCTTCATGGATTTACTTCAAATCCAAAATAAACGTTCATTATCAACAACCTACATTATATTTATTTATTTTTTTTTTTTTTAAATTTTCATCTTTGTTACTACTATACATGTTAATTCTATATTTGAAAATTGTTATTATACCCTTGAAACAAAGTCACTCGGTGGTCGGTCGGTTGCATTTTCCATGTCCGGAGCATAACTTGAAGACTAATGGTTGGAATTCAATATAACTTCATACAATAGTCAAGCACATTGAGAGGAAGTGCAGTGCACAAAAACCATAACTCCATCTTGACTTGTTACAGAGTTATTGCCCTTTTGTTACTTTTCCTTGTCCTGAGCATAACTTGAAAACTACTGGTTGGAATTCAAAACAACTTCATACAATAGTCAAGCACAATAAGAGGAAGTGCAGTGCTTAAGAACCATAACTCTATCTAAAGAAATTAGTTATTGCCCTTTGTTACTTTTCAGTTGCTTTCTTTTGTCTGTACCATAACTTAAAGACTAATGGTTGGAATTCAATATAACTTCATACAATAGTCAAGCACATTGAGAGGAAGTGCAGTGCACAAAAACCATAACTCCATCTTGACTTGTTACAGAGTTATTGCCCTTTGTTACTTGTCCATGTCTGGAGCATATCTTGAAAACTACTGGTTGGAATTCAAAACAACTTCATACAATGGTGAAGCACAATAAGAGGAAGTGCAGTGCACAAGAACCATAACTCTATCTAAAGTAATTACAGAGTTATTGCCCTTTGTTACTTTTCCATTGCTTTTTTTGTCCGGAGCATAACTTGAAGACTAATGGTTGGAATTCAATACAACTTCATACAATGATCAAGGACATTGAGAGGAAGTGCAGTGCACAAGAACCATAACTCCATCTTGACTAATTACAGAGTTATTGCCCTTTGTTACTTTTCCTTGTCCAGAGCATAACTTGAAAACTACTAGTTGGAATTCAATACAACTTCATACAATCATCAAGCACATTAAGAGGAAGTGCAGTGCACAAGAACAATAACACCATTTTGACAAATTACAGAGTTATTGCCCTTTTATACTTTTCCTTGTCCGGAGCATAACTTGTAAAGTACTTGTTTGAATTCAAAACAACTTCATACAATGGTCAATCACAATAAGAGGAAGTGCAGTGCATAAGAACCATAACTCTGTCCCAAGTAATTATAGAGTTATTGCCCTTTGTTTCTTTTCCATTGCTTTTTTCTTGTCCAGAGCATAACTTGAAAAATACTAGTTGGAAATCAATACAATTTCATACAATGGTCAAGTATATTGAGAGAAAGAGCAGTGCACAGAAACCATAACTCTTTCTTGACTCATTTAAGAGTTTTTGCCCTTTGTTACTTTTTATTGTCCAGTGCATAACTTGAAAATTAATAGTTGGAATTCAAAGAAACTTCATACAATGGTCAAGCACATTAAGATGAAGTGCAGTGCACAAGAACCATAACTCTATATGGACTTATTACAGTTATTGCCCTTTGTTACTTTTTTTGTCCAGTGCATAACTTGAAAACTAGTTGTTGGAATTCATTACAACTTCATACAATGGTCAAGCGCAATGAGAGGAAGTGCAGTGTACAATAACCATAACTCCATCTTAAGTATTTGTAGAGTTATTGCCCTTTGTTCCTTTTCCTTGTCAGGTGCATAACTTAAAAACTAATGTTTAGAATTCAATGAAACTTCATTCAATGGTCAAGCGCAATGAGAGGAAGTGCAAGGCTCGAAGGCGTTACTCTTTTTGGACTTATTACAGAGTAATTCAATAAAACTTCATCAATGGTCAACCACATTGAAAGGAAATGCAACATACAAGAACCACAACTATCTTTAATTGCCCATAACTCTAATTCAATTCTTTAAATAAATAGTTGTCAGATGAAAACTTCTGTGAAAGTCAGTAATCTGAAACAGGTGTTTGAACACATAAAGTCATGAAATAAAGGTCTAGATTAAAATTGACTAAGACATGCAAAATTGTGTCTCTCCAATTGAAATTTGAGAGTCTCTCCAATTAAAAAAAGAGAACAAATCCAAATATTACCCTTAGTTAGTAACAACATTGCAGACAAAGGTATTAATCCCCTTTATTGATATCACTAGATTAGTGTTAAAGCAACATAATCTGTTTCATTAATTATAGTGTGAACTACTAATAAACAACAGGAAGCTACCATCAGAGGACATAGACGAGGGGATAGACCATGACAGTCCTTTGTTTAAAGCTATAATGGCCAACTCCATTGTACAGCTTGGTTTAAATAATCCTAGATGCTTATTAGGTAAGTGTAAAACTTTTCTTTTCAAGATTATTATTATGTCCTCACTTAAAATGTTTTAGGAATGTATGAATGGTCATCAAGGTCCATACATCCATCAATATGTCTGTACATACTTCCCCACTTCTAAGTCCAATCAATACTCCAGAATAAATAAGCCAACTGACTTTCCAAGGCAGCACCACTCTTGTGTTCTTAAGATGTATACCTTGTTTATTGCTACATGCTTATTGTGGTGAAGCTTGGCGTTTCACTTTTTATACACTTGAAAGATTTTCAGCTTATATTGTTATGCACCTAGTTGTCTGTCCGGTCTGTATCTTTTGAATCGGTGATCACTTTTTGTCCGGCATCCATAACTTTTACTTTTAACGACATCTCCTCATAAACCGCTAAGCCAATTTCATCCAAACTTCACAGAAATGGTCCTTTGGTGGTCACTTTTAAAAATTGTTCTAAGAATTTAATTCCATGCAGAACTCTGGTTGCCATGGCAACTGAAAGAAAAAACTTAAAATAACTTCTTTTAAAAAAACCCAAAAAGGTAGAGCTTAGATATTTGGCATGAAACATCTTCAACTGAGTGTCTGTCAAATTTGTTCAAATGAAAGCACTGGGGCGCCACAGGGGGTCATTGCTTTTCCTTATATGTATATAGTAAAAACTTAAAAAGTCTTGTTTTAAAAAACCGAAAGAATTAGAGCTTAAATATTTAGCATGAAACATCTTCTGGTGAGTGTCTATCAAGTTTGTTCAAATAAAAGCCCTGGGGTCAAAATAAGCCCCATCCGGGGCTTATATGTATGTAGTAAAAACCTTAAGAAATCTTCTTTTAAAAAACTCAAAGAGTAAGAGCTTAGATATTAATTAAGCATGAAACATCTTCTGTGAGTGTCTATCAAGTTTTTTCAAATAAAAGCCCTGGGATTAAAATTGACCCCGCCCTGGGGGTACTGATTTTCCTTATATTTCTATAGTAAAAACTTAAAAAATCTTTTTTTAAATAAACCATAGAGCTAGAGCTAAGATATTAAGCATGAAACATCTTCTAGTGAGTGTCTATCAAGTTGGTTAAAAAAAAGCCCCTTGGTTAAAATTAGCCCGGCCCCAATGGCCTATATACAGGTGAGCGATTTCAGGGCCATCATGGCCCTCTTGTTTAAGGGTATGACTGGTGACATGTTAGGTCATTGATTTCCCTTATATGTACACATCTTTAGGAACTGTTTTTTTCCCCTTAGCAATAGCAACCAGTAATGTTTTTACACATGCTCTATTTCAGATACAAATATAAACTTTGTGATATCAGTTTAAGATTAAGATTTTATATCTGCTTTAGTTTATAGTTAACAATATTACTTGTTCCTTGTCATGGAGATTTCTATAATCAGGTGAGCGATTTCAGGGCCATCATGGCCTTCTTGTTTTGTTTTTGAAGTGCTCAATGGTGAGATTTTGTGATCACTCTGCGTTTTGCATTGTGCATCCTTCAAAAAATGGCATCAAACTCTTAAAACAACAACTCTTCCTGTACCAATAGGCCAGTATTGTTATAACTAAGCAGGAATGTTCCCTGAATGAAGCCCTTTAAAAAAAATTCAAAAAATTCCATTCCATGCTAATTCTGGATGCCATGGCAACTGATAAGAAAAGACTTTAAAAATTCTTGAAAAAAATGAAAGAGCTTGAGCTTATATATCTGGCATGAATCATCTTCTAGTGGATTTCTGCCAAATTTGTTCAAATAAAAGCCCACAGGTCAAAATTGGCCCGTCCCAGGGGGTCATTGATTTTCCTTATATGTACAGTAAACTTCACTTATAGCGAACACGGTTATAGCGAACTATTTTGGCCCGAATTTTGCCCTTCTTTATTTAATATAAAAATATACGGTTATAGTGAACACGGTTATAAGGAATTATCGCTTATAAGGAACTCGTTTTTTAGTCCCAAATTAATTAAAAGTACAGAAAATTACACTTTTATAACGAACTCCAAAATATCGGCTATTCGTAAATAGATCCCGCATTTTCAACTTTCGTTTTCTTTGGCACGGATTAAAACTCGCCCGAATGTACCGTTTATTGTTGTTTGTACTTCAATACAGCTGTGAAAATGAATTTGTATAGCAGTACGTAATATATTTAGTTTTCTATTTATGATATTTTAGTATGAGTTCTTGTCACTAAGATAAAACGGTTATTCTTTTTATTGTATTTAATTATTTCTTTTCTTTAATAGGTTTGCTCGAGTAAAATAATTATTATCATTTATAATCGGTTTTCAACATAATCATGCATGCTTGCTTATCCATTGAAAACTACAAAGTACGTTTGACTGCAATAAAAAGAAATAGTAAAAGTCACCACCCTTAAAAATATAATAGAAGATATAAATGGAAGGAAAAATCGAATATCTTGTTTATTCTTAATCATGAAAAGAACACGAAAAGCACTGAGTTTAGAAAAAAAAGATATTTTATGTGAAATTGAAAAAAAGGTAAAACTAAAACTGAAATAGCAAGGAATTTTGAAAATTCCAAAAAATACGCTATCGGGTATTGTGTCCAAAAAAGAAATAAATGACTAATGTTCATTAATCAAATGCCCTTCAAAATTGCGGACGATGGTAAACAATCAGTTCGTTATATGGAAATCTGTTCGCTATAAAAACTCCTGATACAAGGAACTAATTCGCTTTATGCTTACAAGGAACTCCGGATATAAGGAACAGATTTTGAATGTCCCAATGAGTTCGTTATAAGTGGAGTTTACTGTATATAGTAAAAACCCTAAAAAATCTTCTTGTGAAAATCCAAAAGCGCTAGAGCTAAGATATTTAGCATAAAACATCATCTAGTGGATGTCTACCAAGTTCATTCAAATAAAAGCCCTAGGGTCAAAATTGGCCCCACCCCATGGGGTTATTGATTTCCTTAAGTGTATTTAGTATTAACTTCAAAATCTTCTTGTGACAATCCGAAAGCACTATAGAAGCTTGGGATTTACCCAGGTGTCTGTGATCAAGGTCACTGTTGCTAAAAATAGAAATGCAGTTTCCACTTAATAACTTAAGTTTGCTTTGGCCTATTGACACCAAACTTGGTGTATGAAAGGCAGCTTGGGATTGCTACCCAGGTGTCAGTGGGGGATTGCTACCCAGGTGTCAGTGGTCAAGGTCATTGTTACTAAAAATAGAAATTCAGTTTCTGCTCAATAACTTGAGTTTGCTTTGGCCTATTGACACCAAACTTGATGTATGGGTAGGCAGCTTGGGATTGCTACCCAGATGTCTTGTGATCAAGGTTAATGTATTCAGTTTTCAGGTAATAACTTGAGTTTGCTTTGACCTTTTGACACCAAACTTGCTGCGTGGCAGCTTTTGATTGCCACTTGGATATCTTGGAGCAAGGCCAAGGTCATTTCCTTAAAATAGAATTTTCAGCTTCTATTTAATAACTGCAGTGCTTTTTGACCTTTGATTGCTGTCACATCAAAACTTGGTCATTGAAAACCTGGTTTTCGTTGTGTTACAGCGCTTCTTGTTGATGGATTGTGACACTTATGATAACTATCATGACTACAAGTGTGGCATACATTAGGTAAATATTTGCAAGGCCAAGGTCACTAGAGATGATAAAAAAACATTCAGATATTTTCCGCATATTGCCCAGAGCATATCTTCTATATGCATATCTATAATGCCCACATCTCTGTCAAAAGCTTTTGTGACGGGTGTATTATGCCACAATGTTACCCTTGCTGACCTACTTTTGATACTGTTGATATCATTTGACCTACTTTCTTTATTTTGAGGAAGAGACATGATATTTGGACCAAGGGTGTAATTTCTGCTTGCCGCATTAAATTTTGATATTATCCAACCTATTTTGATATTTTTGATATCATTTGACCCACTTTCTTAGCTTTTTTTTACATACAGACTTGAAATTTGGACTAGGGGTTTTAATATTGATGCCAAATTGAATTTTAATATCAGTTTACCTGCTTCTGATATTTTTGGTATCGCTTAACCTACTTTCTTGTTTTGTGACATACAGACTTCAATTGACCAGGGTTTTTTGTAATTGTTGTAATTTCTGATGCCGAATTTTGATATCAACTGACCTACTTTTGATATTAATGATATCGTTTGACCTAGCTTCTCGGTTTTTTATATACAGTCTTGAAATATGGACATATTTGAAATATCTGACCCTGAAATGAATTTCAATATCAATTGGCCTACTTTTAGCTCACCAGAACCAAAGGTTCAGGGTGAGCTATTAGTATCAAAGGGGGATACTCCGGCATCCGGTGTCTGTCGTCATGCATCAACAAATCATCTACTTCTCTGAAACTGCTGGGCAGATTTACCTCATATTTTGTCTGTAGCTTCATTGTGACAGTTACACCTAAATTTGCTCATGTCTTTTCAATTGGCCCCTTTAAGGGGTCATAGAGCTAAAAATAGAAAAACCTTTATACATTTTCTTCTTCTAAGGTCACCAGGTCAAAGGTCACAGGGGCCTTGACTTAAAAAAAGCTTGTCCGCCCAATAACTTAAGATTCCTGTGACCCACAGTCTTCATATTTGGCAAGGAGGTTAGTCATGATTATTAGATGACCCCTATCAATTTTGAGGTCACTGGGTCAAATGTCAAGGTCACAGGTGCCTTGCCTAAACAAAGCTTGTCTTAACTTAAGATTCTTTTTGACCCACAGTCTTCATATTTGGCATGGAGGTTGATCATGACCTTTAGGTGACCCAAATTGATTTTGAAGTCACTGGGTCAAAGTCACAGGGGCCTTGACTGAAAAAAGCTTGTCCGCTCAATTGCTTTAGAATGCTTTGGTCAACAGTCTTCATATTTGGTATTGACGTTGTTTATGACTAGTAGATGATTTTTAGTGGCTATGTCAAAGGTCAAGGTCACAAAGATTTTTACTATAATAAGCTTGTCTGCTCAAATGCTTAAGAATGCCTGTCCGCAGTGTATTGATTTTGACATTTTCACATTTGAAGCATGTAGAATACATAACTTAGCAATGCACTGGCTTAGTAACCTCAGATTTGGCAGGGAGGTTATCCTTGAGCTCTAAATGGCCACTGTTGGTATGCGGGGGTATTTACGCCATGACAGTGGCAGTTCTAGTTTATTTTGCTGTCATCCTTGGACACAACAATCCTTCTAATCCATTCTAATATTCTAAAGGTAAATACATCACTTTCAGGGTTAAAAAGGCACTCTGATGGCTAATTTAGAATTCTAAGGGATAGAACTTTAAATTCAATGGTTAATATATTTTAATAACGCTAAAAACATAAATCCTAATTTGTTTGTTGGTCTATTTGCAGCTTTTATACAGATGTTAGAACATCCGCAAACAGCTAATCAGTGGCTAAGTGATGCAGAAACTGCCCCTCTTTTAGTTCAAGTTTCTCGTATTTACCATGCTGAAAAACATTCTCAACAACAACAACAACATGAAGAACAAGACAGACAACAGAAAAAGTTAAGATGATTGGTGTTCTATGGGATATTTGATTTGTAATTGTGAATAAAAATGAAATATAATGTAACCAATCAAAGGCTATAGGAATCTCAGTATTGAATTAGGTTAACAAAAATGTGGATATTAACATATAAATACATAAAGAATAGTAAACTAATTTAATATTTAAGTTATACACTTATGGTCTAACAGTGGGTCTTCATTGTATCATAAAGTGTTTATGGGTTGAAAGTTCATATAAACAAGACCAACATTACACTGACTGACACTATTACAGTGGTCTCCAAGCTTTTCTAAAGGTTATTTAAGAAATAATATACAGTCAACATTGTATTAAGAGACCACTCAAGGAACTGCCAAAAAGTGGTCTCTCAATAGAATTCTGGAAAATTTGAGACTTTTTATATTACAAGTCATAGATATAATAACATTGTTTTTTATAAAAACAAAAACTGTACAATATTATGTATGTATTACAGTTTCATGATTACATTTATACCTTTTTAGCTCACCTGTCACAAAGTGACAGGGTGAGCTTTTGTGATCGCTTTTCGTCCGGCGTCCGTCTGTCCGTCCGTCGTCCGTCCGTAAACTTTTATTTTAAATGACATCTCCTCATAAACCACTAAGCCAATTTCATCCAAACTTAACAGGAATGTTCATTTGGTGGTCACCTTTAAAAATTGTTCAAAGAATTTAATTCCATGCAGAACTCTGGTTGCCATGGCAACCAAAAGAAAAAACCTATATGCATATAGTAAAAACTTAAAAAATCTTTTTAAAGAACTCAAAGAGCTAGAGCTAAGATATTTGGCATGAAACATGTTCTAATGGGTGTTTACCAAGTTTGTTCAAATAAAAGCCCTGGGGTTAAAATTGGCCCCGCCCCAGGGGGTTATTGATTTTCCCTATATGCATATAGTAAAAACTTAAAAAATCTTTTTTTAAAGAACTCAAAGAGCTAGAGCTAAGATATTTAGCATGAAACATGTTCTAATGGATGTCTACCAAGTTTGTTCAAATTAAAGCCTTGGGGTCAAAATTGGCCCCGCCCCGGGGCTCATTGATTTTCCTTATATGTTTATATAGCAAAAACTTAAAAATCTTCTTTGAAAAAACCCAAATAACTAGAGTTAAGCATGTAAGTGTCTACAAAGTTTGTTCAAATAAAAGCCCTTGGGTCAAAACTGGCCCCGCCCCAGGGGTGTCATTGATTTTCCCTATATGCATATAGTAAAAACTTAAAAAATCTTCTTTTAAAGAACCCATAGAGCTAGAGCTAAGATATTTAGCATGAAACATCTTCTAATGAGTGTCTACCAAGTTTGTTCAAATAAAAGCCCTGGGGTTAAAATTGGCCCCGCCCCAGGGGGTCATTGATTTTCCCTATATGCATATAGTAAAAACTTAAAAAATCTTCTTTTAAAGAACCCAAAGAGCTAGAGCTAAGATATTTAGCATGAAACATGTTCTAATGGGTGTCTACAAAGTTTGTTCAAATAAAAGCCCTGGGGTCAAAATTGGCCCCGCCCCGGGGGTCATTGATTTTCCTTATATGTGTATAGCAAAAACTTAAAAAATCTTCTTTGAAAAAACCCATATAGCTAGAGTTTAGATATTAAGCATGAAACATCTTCTAGTGAGTGTCTACAAAGTGTGTTCAAATAAAAGCCCTGGGGTCAAAATTGGCCCCGCCCCAGGGGGTCATTGATTTTCCCTATATGCATATAGTAAAAACTTAAAAAATCTTCTTTTAAAGAACCCAAAGAGCTAGAGCTAAGATATTTAGCATGAAACATGTTCTAATGGGTGTCTACAAAGTTTGTTCAAATAAAAGCTCTGGGGTCAAAATTGGCCCCGCCCCGGGGGGTCATTGATTTTCCTTATATGTGTATAGCAAAAACTTAAAAAATCTTCTTTGAAAAACCCCAAATAGCTAGAGTTTAGATATTAAGCATGAAACATCTTCTAGTGAGTGTCTACCAAGTTTGTTCAAATAAAAGCCCTGGGGTCAAAATTGGCCCCGCCCCAGGGGGTCATTGATTTTCCCTTTATGCATATAGTAAAAACTTAAAAAATCTTCTTTTAAAGAACCCAAAGAGCTAGAGCTAAGATATTTAGCATGAAACATGTTCTAATGGGTGTCTACAAAGTTTGTTCAAATAAAAGCCCTGGGGTCAAAATTGGCCCCGCCCCGGGGGTCATTGATTTTCCTTATATGTGTATAGCAAAAACTTAAAAATCTTCTTTGAAAAAACCCATATAGCTAGAGTTTAGATATTAAGCATGAAACATCTTCTAGTGAGTGTCTACAAAGTGTGTTCAAATAAAAGCCCTGGGGTCAAAATTGGCCCCGCCCCAGGGGTTCATTGATTTTCCCTATATGCATATAGTAAAAACTTAAAAAATCTTCTTTTAAAGAACCCAAAGAGCTAGAGCTAAGATATTTAGCATGAAACATGTTCTAATGGGTGTCTACAAAGTTTCTTCAAATAAAAGCTCTGGGGTCAAAATTGGCCCCGCCCCGGGGGGTCATTGATTTTCCTTATATGTGTATAGCAAAAACTTAAAAAATCTTCTTTGAAAAACCCCAAATAGCTAGAGTTTAGATATTAAGCATGAAACATCTTCTAGTAAGTGTCTACCAAGTTTGTTCAAATAAAAGCCCTGGGGTTAAAACTGGTCCCGCCCCAGAGGTGTCATTGTTTTTAACTATATGTGTATAGTAAAAACTTTAAAAAATCTTCTTTTAAAAAACCCAATGAGCTACAGGTTAGATTTTAAGCAGGAAACATCTTTTTGTTGGTGTCTACCAAGTTTGTCCAAATAAAAGCCCTTGGGTTTAAATTGGCCGTGCCAAAGGGGGGGGGGGGGGGGGCGGAGGTCATTGTTTTTCATTATATGTGTGTAGTAAAAACTTAACATCATGAAACATCTTCTAATGGGTGTCTTCCAAGTTTGCTCAAATAAAAGCCCTGGGGTTTAAACTGGCCCCACTCCGGGAGCCTATATACAGGTGAGCGACCTCAGGGCCATCATGGCCCTCTTGTTTTAAAAAAAAGTCACCAACATGTGTTTGTTTTTTAGTAGAAATTTGTGTACAAATGTGATCTACGCTCATAATACTATCAACAGGTCACTTTGACCATGAAACAAAGCATATTGTCTTATATTGTTAATATTTTCATACACATCTCCTGCTGAACATACTTTCGAATCATCAGCCAGAGCTCCAGATAATTTTTCATGCAATGAGTTTTAAACTTTTTGAATTTTTCGGCAATTAGTTTTTAGCTTGACTTTTTTTTTTTTTTTTGAAAAAAAAGGTAGAGGTATTGTTATAGTCAGGTCGGCGTTGCCGTTGCCGTCCGAAAACTTGTACCTGGATCATAACTTTTTTATTTCTTGGTGTATTGTCTTCATACTTGGCCACAACAACCCTTGGGACAAGACCTTTCAGTAGACCACACTAACCTTGACCTTCATCCATAAATGACCTTGACCTTCAAGGTTAAAAGTCCAATTTTTGCTTGTTCATGCTGTTATTGGCTGTAACTTTGTTATTTTTGAATGGATTGTCTTCAAACTTGAACATAATAATCTTCAAGGATAGCCCTTAAAAATAACCAGTCAGACCTTGACCTTCACTCATAAATGACCTTGACTTTGAAGGTCAAATGATTGAAATTTTCATTTTTTTGGCTATTATTGGCTGTAACTTTGTTATTTTTGAATGGATTGTCTTGAAACTTGAACATAATAATCTTCAAAGATAACTGTTAAAAATATACCGAAAGACCTTAACCTTCACTCATTAATGACATTGTCTTTGAAGGTCAAATTATTGAAATTTTCATTGTTTTGGCTGTAACTTACTGTAACTTTGCTATTATTGAAGGGATCAACTTCATATTATAACAGAACATTCTTAAAGACCAGACCTTGTTGTTTAATTACCTTGACCTTGAAGGTTAAATTACTGAATTTTCTCAGATTTGTGCATTAAATGACCATATATGTCTACATTATTGGTGTGTGTGTGTGTATATATAGATATCTATCATCATCATCATCAACAACAATGTGTATCTATTTATAGAATTGCGTGTTTCTATTTTTAGAATTGCGTGTTTCTATTTATAGAATTGCTTGTTTCTATTTATAGAATTGCGTGTCGCTATTTATTGAATTGCATGTTTATATTTTTAGAATTGCGTGTTTCTATTTTTAGAATTGCATGTTTTTCATTTTAGAATTGCGTGTTACTAATTATAGAATTGCGTGTTACTATTTTTAGAATTGCATGTTTCTATTTTTAGAATTGCGTGTTTCTATTTTTAGCTCACCTGTCACAAAGTGACAGGATGAGCTTTTGTGATCGCTTTTCGTCCGGCGTCCGTCCGTCCGTAAACTTTTACTTTAAATGACATCTCCTCATAAACCACTAAGCCAAATTCATCCAAACCTCACAGGAATGTTCCTTTGGTGGTCACCTTTAAAAATTGTTCAAAGAATTTAATTCCATGCAGAACTCTGGTTGCCATGGCAACCGAAAGAAAAAACTTAAAATATCTTCTTTTAAAAAACCCGAAGAGCTAGAGCTTAGATATTCGGCATAAAACATCTTCTAGTGAGTGTCTACCAAGTTTGTTCAAATAAAAGCCCTGGGGTCAAAATTGGCCCCGCCCGAGGGGGTCATTGATTTTCCCAATATGCATATAGTAAAAACTTAAAAAAACTTCTTTTACAGAAACCAAAGAGCTAGAGCTAAGATATTTAGCATGAAACATCTTCTTATGAGTGTCTACCAAGTTTGTTCAAATTGAAGCCCTGGGGTTAAAATGGCCCCGCCCAAGGGGTCATTGATTTTCCCAATATGCATATAGTAAAAACTTAAAAAATATTTTTAAAGAACTCAAAGAGCTAGAGCTAAGATATTTTGCATGAAACATGTTCTAATGGGTGTTTACCAAGTTTGTTCAAATAAAAGCCCTGGGGTTAAAATTGGCCCCGCCCCAGGGGGTTATTGATTTTCCCTATATGCATATAGTAAAAACTTAAAAAATCTTTTTTTAAAGAACTCAAAGAGCTAGAGCTAAGATATTTAGCATGAAACATGTTCTAATGGATGTCTACCAAGTTTGTTCAAATTAAAGCCTTGGGGTCAAAATTGGCCCCGCCCCAGGGCTTTTAGGTTTTTTGCCTTATATGTTTATATAGCAAAAACTTAAAAATCTTCTTTGAAAAAACCCAAATAACTAGAGTTTAAATATTAAGCATGAAACATCTCCTAGTAACTGTCTACAAAGTTTGTTCAAATAAAAGCCCTTGGGTCAAAACTGGCCCCGCCCCAGGGGTGTCATTGTTTTTAACTATATGTGTATGGTAAAAACTTAAAAAATCTTCTTAAAGAAACCAAAGAGCTAGAGCTAAGATATTTAGCATGAAACATCTTCTAATGAGTGTCTACCAAGTTTGTTCAAATAAAAGCCCTGGGGTTAAAATTGGCCCCGCCCCAGGGGGTCATTGATTTTCCCTATATGCATATAGTAAAAACTTAAAAAATCTTTTTTTAAAGAACTCAAAGAGCTAGAGCTAAGATATTTAGCATGAAACATGTTCTAATGGGTGTCTTCCAAGTTTGTTCAAATAAAAGCCCTGGGGTTAAAACTGGCCCCGCTCCGGGGGCCTATATACAGGTGAGCGACCTCAGGGCCATGATGGCCCTCTTGTTAGAATTGCATGTTTCTATTTTTAGAATTGCGTGTTTCTATTTATAGAATTGCGTGTTAATATTTATAGAATTGTGTGTTACTATTTATAGAATTGCGTGTTTCTATTTATAGAATTGCGTGTTTCTAATTTATAGAAGTGTGTGTTACTATTTATAGAATTGCATGTTTCTATTTATAGAATTGTGTGTTACTATTTATAGAATTGCGTGTTTTTATTTATTGAATTGCGTGTTTCTATTTATTGAATTGCGTGTTTCTATTTATAGAATTTAGTGTTTCTATTTATTGAATTGCGTGTTTCTATTTATAGAATTTAGTGTTTCTATTTATAGAATTGCTTGATTCTATTCATATAACGGTATATATATATACAAAATAGATAAACAAAACTAATGTGACAAGACAGACCGATTAAATTTATAAAAAGGAAACGTTAAGATTTGTTCAAACCTTTCTTTGTTTGCTTTTAGAAAAAGTAAAAAGTCGAGCGTTGCCCCCGCCCGGCGGTGGCTCTTTTTATGGTATTAATAAGACACAATCAAACAATCAAAATTAAAACATTTTATTTAATATGCTATTAGCATTTAGTTAAGAGATTCAAAGTTATAAATTGGATTTTATAATTATTTAATTGATTTTTTTTTAAGTTTAGAATAATTAATATAATATATTGAATGATTAATCATAATTTACTGACCTTTTCCAAGTAATTTTAGAATCATTATCGTCGGTCAATATGACGCTTTCAGCATGATGAATGGCTGTCAATGTAATCATTAAAAAGAGGCGAACGACTGATGACGTTACTAAAATTTTGATGACACTCCAACTTAAATACCCTATAACTTAAACAGAAAAGCATTTTTGAATATTTAATAACGAAATGTGGACGTTTACGAATCGTTTGATAAATAGAGGATATTGAATGAGTGCAGTTTAATACTTAATTTATTGAACGAGTTGTTTAGTATTGAATCTACACGAATATAATATTCTATTCATCACATATATAAAATAAGAACAGTAAACTGTTAAAATGAGTTATTTTTAAATGACGCGCTAGGCCTATAGCGTAACGCTAAAATTAGCGCGCTTTAACGCTATGTTTCTATATAGCGCAAATTTTATTACACTCCTGCGCCGCGGTTTAGGTGATAAAAGGATTTATTATCATGAGAAAATATGTTTTTGTGACTAAAAAATAAAAATGCCGCATCTCATCGGATAGTGTGGTTATTTTTAGTCAAAATTCACGTGAAGTAAAGCTTGCACAGGGCCAGGAATTTGTTAGTATGCTCCTTTGGATGTTGACTATGAATCGATATCATTGATTTACTCGAACACAGTTGCGATATGTTAAAAATAGATGAATACTTACCGTCCGTCAATCGTGTTTCGTGCGCCGACATGTATATACTGGTACAGCTGTCGACGTTTGAACTGCTGTCTGCCCATTGTACGGTTCAGAATTTAAAGAAAACAATATAGTGCCCTGTGTTAAAAAATGCAAAGAACAGAGGTGTTTCATATAAAAGAACATATGGACGGTACTGTTGAAAATGTTTTAGTTTGCAACGGATGCATAGATTTTTACATAGGCCAAACAGGCGACAAACTCAGTAACAGAAAAACTGTTCATGCTCAGTAGATCAGAGACAATTACCTTTAAGTGAACATTTAGATAAATGCTCAAAAAAAGACCCGAAATTTTGTATTTTCCCATTTTATTAATTTCACATTAAAAACGTTGAAACCTAGCTGGAGCTAGGTTATCTAAAGAACTCGTTTATATTCACAGTATATAAACGATTTGTACCCCTACCGGATCTTGTGAGAAGATCTCAACATCATTTCGTACAAACAGGCGGGGTGACCCATAAAACTTTTTAAGACGGCTTGCATTTAATCTGTTACAGTATGTAAACATTTGAATCATATTAAGAAATAGTTTTTCTTTGCTTATAACCAGCTTCTTTAAATGTATGCGCATTAAACGCTGTGCTCTTCGCTTCGTGTTTTGTTTATGTCAACACACGCCGATTACACAGGCAAATTTATGCCTAAAATTGTTTTATTTCACTATGACTCATATCTGAATCTTGACCTCTATTAAGAGGCGAACATTCTTATAACTGTACCCGTCTTGCTAAAACAATTTTAATGATCTGTACCCTATTTGTGTTTTCACTGAACCATAACTTGCGAGTCACTTTTGATGATTTTTATTGTTTTTGTCCTATGTTCCAAATTATATCTTGCAGAATATGAAGTTTTTGTGTCACAACTTAGTAACAAATACTGCCTGCACATGAATGGACCTTCATCATGGAAATACCAGAATGAAGTATAAGGAAGAAAATTATTTCTTGACAGGAATTATCAACCAACAAATCTTATCTTCATTTACCATTCATTTTTCTTTGAAAAGCTAAGATAGCTTTCGTGTAACAAACACTCCCCCGAAAACACAACATGTGGGATCTGTGGATTAAGTTGACACCAAGTTTAAACTTAAACTCTTCGTCATCTCATCTGTACTAAAAAACGTATCTTTTGTCGAATTGTGAACATCTTTAACAGGCGTTTTGATTTTTTGACATTTCTTGATTCGAAATTATTTTTCAAGTCCTTGTCTTGAAATTTTTATTGTTTATCATTTGCTTTTAAAGTCCTTTGTAATTTTTTCAGTTCTTTCGGAATAATTCTAAAGTCTTTTGAGTATGATTTTTATGTTTCTGTTATAGTTGTCAAACTGAGAAATTGTTAGTTCTGATGTCCAAATAGTGTTTTTTTTTTTTTTTTTTGGAAGAGAAAGGGGACAATGAAGACAACTGAATCTTTCCATTTTGCCTGTCAATAAACAAATAAATACGTTAAATAATTAACGTTCTCTCCATTAAATCTTTAAAAATACTCACAAGTCGGGGTACAGATAAAATTTGTAAACTCATAAGTAGGGTTCACAATCACCAGCAAGTAACGTTCAGTTTACGGCATTGACCTCTTGATCTTAATTTAATGTTCAAAATACAGCAATATTTTTTGCAGATGACTAAATTATCGTTTGTTATTAGTTCGATATCACAATTCAATGTAAGACGGATTTTTGCTACTGTTCACCTTTCGAAAGCAGTTCGATTATTTTATAGATTTAATGCTAACATTTATATTTTGCATAACTTAAACGCTTAATAAAGTTTCTCTTCTACATACTAACCTTAACGTCCATTAGTATCAATATAAATACCAATATATTAAACAAGTTAAGCGTCAGAAAATGACTGACACTGACATCTTCTCACAAGACCCGGTTGGGGTTCAAATTGTTAATATACTGTGATATTGATATTTTTTAATCCAAAACTATAGTATGACGTTACTATGAAAGTTATTTATTTATCAGATTTTTTAAACAAATTGGCGAAAGAAGTCCCTCAAATTAAGTATGAGTTTTGACTCTCACAAGATCCGGTTGGGGTTCAAATTGTTAATATACTGTGGTATTGATATTTTTTAATCCAAAACTATAGTATGACGTTACTATGAAAGTTATTTATTTATCAGATTTTTTAAACAAATTGGCGAAAGAACTCCCTCAAATTAAGTATGAGTTTTGACTCTGCCCACTTTCATATTTATGTCTCCCAAAATTTTTTTCCGTCTGTTCTTCCGCTCTCACGAATTAGTAATTATGTGGCTAGAGGGACAAAAGGTAATTGTTCTTTCTCTTTGATGTCATTCATTCCGTAATGCTTTTATGTGGCTATTTCCTCTTGTGTGGCTAAAAAGAACAATAGAGTAGCCACATAATTACTGTCCCGTTAGAACGTCCAGTTGTCCGTCCGCACTACCG